CAACACTAGCATGAAAGGGCAGCTTTGTCTACTCTTGGGAAGCCAATGAAAATGTTTGCCAACATCATTCGAACATAGCTACCTTGTAATAATCTACCACAGCCAGTCGCTACTATTTTTTTCCTCACAATAAAGCATCAATTGCTCCCTGAAAGCTGCGTTATTGCATGAAAGAAAGAGATGTCAAAATCAGTGACTGTAAGAAGCAATTCATAAGTGGCATGGACTCAAGCCATGTGTTTGGCATTTGGCCTTAAGGTAAGGAAAAAAAAATGCCCAAAGAGTAGTGCCTTCCATGCAGCCATCAGGGAATTTTAAAAGCATTTCTCTGCACATGAAAAAATAGTCTATATTCTTGAACACTCTGGAAAATATGATCTCCCACCCCCACACTTCTGCAGAAGTCATCTATAGAGTTAATTTATCCATTCCATTGACATTTATTACTCGCCTGTAGGCAGAGAAAAAGGGAGGAAGAGCCTCCTTCAGGGTGACCTTGACTTGGGAGAGGGATGGAAATGAAGCCAGACCTAGGAGTATAACTGTTCTGTTCTAAGAATACAGGAAATCTTGTAGTATGAGGAAAAGGCAAAGAACTCTAAATTCAACTAAAAGAAAATCTTAAGGAAGTTATTCTGGTCCCATCTAAGAGATGATATTTTAGGAAAAAGGGAAGAAATACTCACAGGGAGAGAAGGAAACAGAAGGAAGAGAAGTCTGAGAAGTGTTCACTATTTGTATTAGTCCATTTTCATACTGCTATGAACAAATACCTGAGACTGGGTAATTTATAAAAAAAAAGTTTTAATGGACTCATAGTTCCACATGGCTAAGGGGCCTCACAATCATGATGGGAGGTGAGAGATAAGCAAAGGCACATCTTACATGGCAGGAGGCAAGAGAGTGTGTGCAGGGGAACTGTCCTTTATAAAACCATCAGATATCATGAGACTTATTCACTATTATGAGGACGGCACAGGAAAGACCCGCCCCCATGATTCAATTACCTCCCACTGGGTGCCTCCCATGACACGTGGGGATTATGGGAGCTACAATTCAAGATGAGATTTTGATGGGGACACAGCCAAACCACATTAGAAAAGGACGCTATTTTAAACAAGGTGTTAAATCCTGTGATTACTCTGTGTCTGCATAAACCATAGGTGTGTGCTTGAGTTTGCAGCTTTAGAGAACAAGATGTCTTGACATTCAGAAGCCTACTTCCCATAACTAGAAGGAAACCGCATCTTCCTTCTAGGGCATTGTATTTTAACAACGTTTCACTGTGAACTTGAATTCAAATAAGTTTGACAAAAGGATCATAGTTTGCAATAGAGTGGTGGCTGAGACATTTTGTTACACATTCACGGTATTTCTAGAACACAAGCAAAACATTTCTAATATATAAAATACATTTCTTTAAAAAAGGAAATTCCTGGTGGAGTAGCTCCTGGAACTACTACAAACTGCAACATGCTTGCAGGGTTGTATGATAAAACTGGGGATCATAACCATCATTCAAGACCCTTGAGGCTCCCTTTCTGACCTATACCACTTGTGTCTCTGAGCCCTGGTGAACTATCTGTGAAAAACGTGATGTCTCTCCTTCTCTGTCCCATGAAGCCTCCCTGGAATTGTCAGTCAGGGGTCACCTCTCCCTGCTCTGAGACTCCACAGCCTTGCATATGTAACTTTCTTAAGTAACTATTACTCTCCAACCACTTCTATTATTGTGATTTATGTACACATCTCCTCCTTGGCAGCTGCTAGGCTATTTTGGAACTGAACAGGCACTAAGGGAGAGAATGAATGAATGGATGAACTAGAGCGTGGAATGCAGCCTGGAACTCCAGTCTTTAGAGATGCTGGCATCTATAAAATGGAATAAAAACAACTCTCTCCACACAGGCTATAGCCTCATGGAAATAAGACTGAAACACCAATGAGATGGAGCAGGGATCCCTCTTAGGGGTCTGCTGGGCTCCCCCAGGCATGGAAATAAATAAAAATCTTGAGTTCTTTCAAAGAAAATTCCAGGAACCTAGCTAGCTTTGAAAAGTAAATGAGCAACTGATAAGCAAGAAAGCAATCATAGAGTAAAGTAATAGACAAGGAAGTCAGAGCCATACAATGTTTAGTTCCCTATAATAACTAAAGATAACACTTCAACATATGCCCCAGCATTGTTTTTCAGAAAGTAGACTCCTACCAAGTGGAAAATGTCATCTGCTGGCACCTAGGCTCTAGGTAAGGAGGAACTGAGGACTGAACTCTGACTGACATTCTTTGTCATTCCAAATTTCTTCCCAAGGGGCCTGGAGAAAGCCATGTCCACAGGCCAGATATCATGTTTGTTTTTGTTGACCCTAAGTGTTCAGATAAAGCTTCCCTTCCTTAACCAATCGCAAATCAGGGAATCTTTGAATCCATTTATGACCTGTGGGTGCCCCTCTTTGGGATATCTTGCCTTTTTAGGTCAAACCAAAATATAACCTCCATATATTGACTTATGCCTTTGCCTGTAGCCCCTGTCTCCCTGCCTTTAAGAACCTTTCCTTGCAAACCATTGGGGAAGTAGAATCTTAAGTGAGAGCTGCCTCATTCTACTGAAAATAAACATCCTCTTTTCTTCCACTGCAAAACCTCAGTGTGGATGTTTGGCCTTACTGCGCTGGGTGGGTGGACCCCAGTTCAGCCTGGTAACACCAAGTCTTCATATATTAGAAAGACACATTTCCACTTTTTACTACTCTTAAAATAACATGGCACACAGAGAAGTGCTGAAAGACTGATAGCTTACTGGGGTTATTCCTGTTCAGATTAAACACACAGGTTCATTAATTAAACCCACATTACATATTGATCATGTGTCCTGCACTGAGCGAGGTAACAATGGGACCCAAAGGAAGGGGCTGGAAGGAGGTCTGAGCAGCCTAGGAAGGTCATTCAGATGTATCTAACAGGCAATTTTTTGTGCTAGGTGCCAGGTAACAAAAGGTATAGGAGATGGTTCTTGCCCCTGGGTACTCAGCCTGTCATAGGGCTCCAGATGTGCACATACAGATGTAAACAGAGGCATAAGGCTTCATAAGCTACCTGCAGCTCTGGGGACAGACTACAGTGGACTCTTTCTCTTTGCCTCAGGCATGGTGTAATTTGGCCTTATTGAGCTCCTTGTAGTTTGCAGAACAAGCTATTTGCTGCTTCTCCTCATTTCCAGCATGACAAAAGAGAACAAGGGATTGGAAAGGCAGAAAGAGATATAAGGAGAGTAAGAGCAGATGCACAGACCCACTGGTGACCCCCTTTCTAGCCGTGGCTCCTTTGCAAACATTCCTGGGAACCCCTCAGCCAAGTGAGGCTCTCCTTCCCTTGTGCCAGTAGTATCTTGTGCATGCAAGATGTCTTGATATTCAGAAGCTTACTTCCCATAACTAGAAGGAAACCCCATCTTCCTTTTAGGGCATTGTATTTTAACAATGTTTCACTGTGAACTTGAATTCAAATTGCACTGAGTCTTCCCAGGCTTCATGCCATCATTGCCATCATCTACCCACCCACCCATTGGTTCAACATGACTTCGTTCAGGGCAGACACCATGTTTTATATTTACTGTTGTGTTGGGCCCAATGCCAGATACATAGAAGATAATCAATATTTCTAAACAATTTGACAGATAAAAGCATTCCCTATATTACCCGTTCATATCTTTGCAGGTAAACTGCAATTCACCCTCCCCTCTTGGCTAAGGCATCATCTCTTCTTGTATCTTCAACCCATATCCACTGCAGATTTGGCTGGGGAGTTCTAACCCTTAGCACAAATATACCCTTTTAGGTATCATATCACTTTATGGAATGGGCATGTTATATGTCATGTAATATCTGTCATATAAGGTAGATATTAGATATGTATATATTAGACCTAGATATGTCTAATATATATGGACATTAAACATTAGATATGTCTAAGTACATCAGATATATCTAAATGTATATATTAGACATTAGATATGCCTGTCTTATATTGGCAGAGCATACACTGTATAAGCCAGTAGCTGAGTCTCATCGAGTATCTCCAATGACTAGCATGATACCCGATCCACGAGGAAAATGGCTCAGCTAACGCTGCAAAAAAAAAAGTTCTGAAAAGAAGTGTCAGCTCAAAATACTATTGTGGGTTCACATAGGCAGAATAATGGTCTCCCAAAGATGCCCTTGTCCTAATCCCTGGAACTTGTGAACAGGTTACACCCTATGGCAAAAGAGACCTTGCAGATTAAGTTCATGATCTTGAGATGTGAAGATGATGTGGGATTATCTAAGCGGGCCAAACATAATTTCAAGGGTCCTTATAAAAGGGAGGTGGGGGTGTCAGAGTAAGTGAAGGAGATGAGATTATGGAAGCAAAGGTCAGATACAGGTAGGGAGGTTTGAAGACAGTGAATTGTTAGCTTTCAACATGGAAGAAGGGGCCACGAGCCAAATAAAGTGGGAAGTCCCCAGAAGCTGAAAAAGTCAAAGAAACAGATTCCCTCCAAGAGCCCTACTGATATCTTGATTTCAGACCAGTGAGATATCCATTTTGAACTTCTGAGTTCTAGAACTGTAAGTCATAAATCTGTTTTAAGCTCATAAGTTTGTGTCAATTTGTTACAGCAGTGACAGGAAATACACACACAGGGGTAGAGGAATTTTTGTTTTAATCAGTTACATTACATGAGACTATATTTACATGTGGAGATACATACTTTCATTCTAATATCTTGACATAGGACATAGGTTTTTAAATTCTGTGGGAACCAGAACAGAAATGGTCACTTTGGCCTTCCAACTTTCTAATCTCCATGACAAAAGGAAGTCCTATCTATTGTAAAGTAGCAGAATAACTATGGAAAAGCTCTAAAATCAAGAAAAAAGTGACCAGAGGATGAGCTGAGAGGCCAGACCAGCATTTCTCACCTTTATAGATACTGTTACTTCTATACCAGCATTTCTCACCTTTATAGATCCCGTTACTTCCACCATGAATTTCTCCTTTGGAAGACACTTCTTCTACATGTGCTCCTTGGTCTGATGTGAAGTAGATAAGGGTATTATTAGCCAATTTCAGCTCATCTAGAAGGTTCAAGATCTGCCCTGGAGGGGAAAAAAAGACTCCATTTAAAAATAATGCATATTCACAAAGCAAAGGAATATGGTTGTCCTACTCAATGTGTGGCTAATTTCTCAAGGTGGGAAGTAAATGTTCTTACATATTGGAGTTTATGCCAACATGAGGTGTGATGCAATCAAGACTGGCTGTGGCTAGGTTCTTAAAACAGACACCAAGATTCATTGACTTGTGTGCCATTTAGAAGCACCATTTGAACATCTGGTGATTCTGCAGGGAGACCTGAGAAAGTATTCTAAAAGTATCAGGTTCATTGATGGAGAGACACTTGGAGGCAGGTGCCAGAAGAAACAGGCTGAAAGGTTGCTCTCAGCAGCTAGTGTTAGCTTTAAGGCTATAAAGAAGTCTCATTTTTCCTTATTGGATGGGAAAACTAAACCAGCAATGTTTCTCTTATGTGAACAAATATGTATTTGGACATTTTATGATGAATGTCCTCCTTTAATACTTATGGTAGATACCCAAGTCTAAACTGTCCCTCACATGAATCTCAATATTCCTCATTGATAGACGAATAGCTAGGAGTTATTCCCCAAGTCCAAACTGTCCATCACAAATATCAACATTCTTCTTGTCCTCACCTTCTTTCCCCAAAACTAACACTGTATACCACCTCCAGATAACCCCTCAAAAAATAGTAGCAATAACAATAACAATAATTGCCACCATCTGTTGAGCACTGTCAACGTATAGAATATTTTATTACATATTCTCTTGTTTAGACCACACTGAACCCTATGAGTAAACAGTACTGGCTTCATTTTAGGGGTAAGAGCAACAATGCTGTAAAAGGGCAACTTGTTCAAGTAGGAGAACCAGAAAATAAGAATTAAAATCTGATTGAAAACTCAAAATGCTCAAATCCTAAACAGGTGAGTAGATAGACTGAGGCTCACAGAGGAGTAAAAAGTACACTAGAGAAAAAAAATCTTATGAAGATACATCCTGAAATACCCGTGGATGAAATGGAGATGGTGAAGAAGATGATAGCTGCTGTCTTCTTCAAAAGAATGCAGGAGGAGAAGAAATGAGTATGGGATATAGATTCAACAAGATTAGTCAGGAGTTAATAATTGTTAAATATCAGTGAAGGGCATATGGAGGTTTAATTTTACTACTCCATTTCTGCATATGCTCATAATTTTCCACAAGAAAAATAGAGGAAAGTTGAAGTTTGAAGGAGTGGAAACATGGACTTTCTGATTGGGAAGTTATCACCCAGCTCTCAAATCAGAAGACAACGATGGGCTAACTTGAGGTATACAATGTACAATTTCCACAGGACTCTACATAGTCATATGCTACTTACTGAATTTCATAAGTCAGTGCATACTGCTAGGCTTCAGTTGATACAGTAGAACCTGACTCCATTTCGTAATGTTTGAGTGCTAAGAGTTTCTAAGCCTCATCTTTCCTTCTTCTGTTTGTGCCATGCAGGCTGATAAGAAATCCTGGGTGCTCCCTCATTCACTGTCAGTGGGAGGTTGGAACTATGCAAGCCCCTGTCTGCATGCAAGAGATCCTTATCCCAGCTCCAACTCCTAGTCACCATAAAAGCAGAATCTGTTTCTTTTCCATACTCTCTCAAGCTATTTTTTGTACTGGTTTAGTACACTGCTGTATTAGTCTGTTCTCATGTTGCTAATAAAGACAAACATGAGACTGGGTAATTTATAAAGAAAAAGAGGTTTAATTGACTCACAGTTTCATGTGGCTGGGAAGGTCTCACAATCACGGCGGCAGGCAAGAGAGGGAACCAGCCAAGCGAGAGGGGAAACCTTTCATAAAACCATCAGATCTCGTGAAATCTATTCACTACCATGAAAACAGTAGGGGGAAATTGCCCCCAAGATTCAATGATCTCCCACCGGGTCCCTCCCACAACATGTGGGAATTATTGGTGCCACAATTCAAGATGAGATTTGAGTGGGAACACAGCCAAACCGTATCACCTGTTCTCCTCAGAAAGCCATATTATATGACTAGTAAACCTTTTCATGTCCTGTTAGTGTGTGGGTGCTGTCACTGGTCTCAACATGGGAATCAAATTTTGGGTGGGCTCTCAGTCACACTACGATGTCCACAACAACTGATATTCTACAATGGCACGAGGCATCCTCTGTGGTAGAAATAATTGAATGTAGATTTTGGAATACATCCCACCCAGCAGGTAAATCACACCCTGTAAAGCCAGATCCTTCACTCAAGGCTGTACTCACACCTACTTGGTCCGGAAAAGGGTAAGGAGAAGGAATGCAGACTGAGCTGCCCACGGAGGTGGCAGAGATGATTTCTGATGCAAAAACAACACCCAAGTCATTTGTGGCAAGGCGTATTTTTGCTATTTGATTGCAAGTGCCATGGGCTAGAGTGTTCAATCTTTCTCAATTTTTAACTCAAATGATAAACATTCCCAGAACCCACACCATATACGTAAATGTCATACTCAGAACCAAGGAATAGACACCCGAGGGCCATTTTAGCAATTTGTCTCCCATGATAAATCATGATCAGGCAGACATTTATTGTGGTGTTATCTGGTGCAGCTAAGCAAACCACCTGTGCACTCAGGCTTGGGGTTGTTTGGCTGAGACACTAATTTAAGCCTAATTACTTTGAAAATGGTAATTAGCTTAATGAGTTGAAATAGAAGGGAGCAATAAGGCGCTGTAACCCCTGTTTATACATTGAAAGAAAAATGTCCCCTTTTGCTCATATAACAACCTCTGTGTAAAATAACACATATTAGGCAGGTGGCAGAGGACTTAGGAATTTGCTTCCATATATTGTAGTTAGTATTTAGTGAAGGGCATGAGACCATTCACCTTCCTTTGAAACAAAATTCATCTTTCTATATGTAGAAGTATCTTCGCACAAAGAAAATGCTGTGAAGAAATTTCCTACAAAAATGTGTCTCCCATGATAATTCATGTGCACACAAAAACCCCCACACAAATATTTATGCCATGTCTATTTATAATTGTCAAAACCTTGGATGCAACAAAGCTGCCCTTCAGCAGTTGAATGGATAAGTAAAGTATGGTACACCCAGACAATGAAATATTATTCAGAGCTAAAACAAAATGAGCTATAAAGGCATGAAAATCATGGAGGGATCATAAATAGATATTTCTAAGTGCAAAGAGACAATCTGAAAAGGCTACACACTATATAATCCCAGCTATAGGACATTCTGGGAAAGGCACAGCTACAGAGACCGTAAACAGATCAGTCCTTGCCATGGGCTTCAGAGAAAGGAAGGATGAAGAGGCGAAGTACAGCAGATTTTTAGGACAGTGAAACTACTCTGTATGATCCTGTAATGGTGGATCTATGCCATTATACCTTTGTCCAAACCCATAGAACCCTAATGGAAACTAGGGACTTCACTTAATCACAACATATCAATATTGGCTCAATTGTAACAAATGTACCAGATGAATATATAATGTAAATAATAAGGAAACTGTGTGCAGGGGAGAGAGAGTGTATGAAAACTCTGTACTTTCTGTTCAGTTTTTCTGTAAACATAAAACGCTCAAAAATAGTCTAATTTTTTTGTTGTTTTTTAGACAGGGTCTCACGCTGTCTCCCAGGCTGAAGTGCAGTGTTGCAACCACGGCTCACTGCAACCTCCACCTCTTGGGCTGAAGTGATCCTTCCACCTCAGCCTCCTGAGTAGCTGGACTACAGATGAGTATCACCATGCCTGGCTAATTTTTTGTATTCATTGTAGAGATGGGGGTCTTGGTTTGTTGCCCAGGCTGGTCTCAAACTCTTGGGCTCAGGAAATCCTCCCACCTCAGCCTCCCTCTGTTAATTTTTTAAATGCCTCTCGAATGTAATTTTGACTCCCAGACTTCCTCATGCATTCGTTCAACATGCATTTATGAAGTACCTGTCTTACACAGGCTATGTGCTAAAGGCTGGGTTGCCACAGAGTTTTCGGGGATAGCTCTTATCCCCAAAGCCAAGGCCAGCTACACCCTACTTACAGCTTCTCCTCTTGCCTACTTTTAAGTCCAGACAACTTTACAGCTGCATTTTTTATACAGATTCTCTCAGTTGAAATATTCTACATCCTTCCCCATCTTAATACTTCTCCCTGGATATTTCCTACAAATTCCAATATTTCCAGTGACCATGATAGTTAACATGTCCTCATCAAAGTTTATTCTTCATTGCCTAGAGTGATCACTTTCATTAAAGGTGCCCTCTACAACTGGGCTGGGATTAGTATAAGAGAAAGTAGCTGAGGCTGCCATGCATATATGCATGGTAGAATATTTAGTTTAACCTGCTGAGAAACGGTTAGATTTCTAATTTCCTTTTCGTCCTTTCTTTCCCAAAAGATGCAGTCTGGATCCCATACTACTTAGGTCTTAAGCTAGAATCTCATTTGTAAATCCCAGAGCCCATTCAACATTTAATTTTTTATAACATTGATCCTACAAAGGTCTAACGTATTTCCCTCCTAAACATTGTGAAAATCTCCCATGAGAACAAATGCTGCTGTAGTATTTTTGCGTTCAGAGCAATCTATTGCAAATCAGAGGTCTGCAAATATTATTTTTCAGCAAGGTTCTCAAGACATAATGATACCGATTTATATAGAATTATAGTTTTGAATTACCTATGGTGAGCTGCAGTATAGCTTATAAATAAAATGTTCTATTTCCAAAGTTTTCTCCCTTTGTTTTCTGAATGAAACAGATACAGAAAATAAGCCATTTCAAGAGCACTTTGTTATTTAACTGGAGATAACAAGAACAAGCTTATCAAAGTGAGGGCTTCCTAACCAGACTTTTTGTAGTCCTAAAGAAGAAAACTTGGAAATGCAAAAATCTGGCTCCTTCTTCTGTCAAGTGTGGACATGGGTTGCAGAGGAAGCATAAATTCTAGAAAGTTCTGTCATTCCATTTATTCATCCCACAAACAAGCACTAAGCTACTATTAAGAGTCAGGC